ACAAATGGAAACCCCTTACATATGTACAGTTTGTAAAACTGTTAATGTTACCGCTCCGACATGCCATTAATTATCCAAAGTGTTTTTAAAAATAGTTAATTTATGTTCTGTGTTATGTAGGTTAGCAATCAATGACAGTACAGGTACACACTGGGTACTACTAACAACTCCAAAACCTGAATATTTTAAGTCAGCATCAGCACCTGATGAGCCTGAAAAAAGGGGACCGGTGTTCTGAGAATCCATCCTACCTGACAAACCATCCTACCCGCTGTTTCTACGCATGCGCACAACACGAAATTCAGTGGCGAACCATCCTACCTTTGTGAATGTGATGTACAAGCATACTTTAACAGCTATAATTAACTGGCAAATCATCCTACCTTTGTTAATATGAGCTAGAAGCATAATTTTACAGCGAGAATTCAGTGGCAAATCATCTTACCTTTGTTAATAAGACCTAGAAACATACTCTGACGGGTAAAATTACGTGCCAAACCATGCTACCTTTGTGAATGTTACCTACAAGCATACTTTAACGGGTAAAATGAAGTGGCAAACCGTCCTGGCTTTATGAATGTGAGCTACAAGCATACTCTGATGGGCACAGTTACGTGGCAAACCATCATACCTACTTACATTTGTGCTGGAATTACTCTGTGACAGCAGAAATGTGCATAAACTACTTATGGTAGGACGTTTTGCCAAAGTAGGACGTTTTATCAGAACACCGGGTGAAGCTGCATCTTTAAAGTGCTTTTAATTATAGTAGCAGTAGTTTTGAAAAGTACAGAGAATACACTTTGGTCCAGTGTTGACACACTTCATGAAAGACAAAAGATGGAAACGACTTTGGTGTGTGCTGGTTTTGCTCACCCAGACTCTTACTGATGTCAGCTGCAACGTGAGCAAACTCCACTGCTTCCCCATACAGCTTGAGACAGAACATCACTTCAGTGAGCTTATTGCACAACCTCAGTCTACTGTGAAGGCTGCTGCTCTTCACTGCGATTGGCAGAGCACGGTCCTACATGGAACGAACATAAAAATACAGCCATTTAATTATGATAATTATAGTTTTTTCTAAGCTTTTATTAGTTTGCACCACTTTTGGAGAAATTACAGTAATATCATCATAGCACAATAATGCTGAAAAAGTTTTAACAAACATGGATAAATAATCTAATCCTACATAAGAATGACTGAAATCAAGAGTACTATGACATTATTCTAATATGAAGTACCCTGTAGAAGATGACAGCCTTGTCTCTGTCCCGGCAGCTGTCGAAGAAAATGTCTCCTGCGGTTTCAAGAAGCTTCAAGATAAAGCTTGTGTCTCCTGTGCTCAAAGCTACATCCTGAGCTGCCTGAAAACACCAGAAATACAGGATTTCAGTGCATGATAAACGAATTTCATTTTGGCCAAAGCTGAAATCGCTAAAACTGTGAAGACCGCTCTTTCGTCCACACATTTTCTTTGCTGATTATCTGACTTAAGAGTTGTGGTAAGTGGAGTAATTCTTATATAGTACTTTTCTACTCTGTGCAGACCCAGGACACACTGGTGAGATTACATCTCTTGATTGGCCTGGGAATGCCTCAGTGTTTCCCTGATAAACTGGAGGAAGTGACTGGGGAGTTGGCTATTATCCCCATAACCTGACCCAGAATAAGTGGAAGAAGACGAATGGATGGATGGAATTTGAGAGATATTCATGATCTCTGACATAGTTTTCAATGTAAACTTGCAATTCTGAGAATAATAAAAGTTTAAGACAACACCAAAGTTCCACATATATGGCTACAAATGAAAACACTGGTATCAGACCTGAACATAAATGTCCACCAGTTCAATCTGGCCCAGCAGCTGGTAGATCTTCCCGGCTTGTAGCCAGCCATATGCTTCCTTCTCCTTGCAGCCCAGGTCAATGAAAATACCCAGACTGGTCTTGGTGTAGTCAAGAGCAGCTCGGTACGCCCTGAAACAATTCAAAGATAACTTTTTTAAAGGTCTACAGTGGTCCCAGTGTTAATTTGATTCCATTCAATTTTTTTTACTATACACAACAACAGTTGTCTCAAAGCACCTTACACTATAAGGTAAACCCTACAATATTAGAAAAAATCATCACAATCATACAGCCACCTATGTGCAAGCACTTAGTGACAGTGGGAAAAAACTATTTTTATATACTCTTTCTATCTGACAATCACATGCATTCATATTCTGATGCATCAGAGAGCAACTTGGGCAACTTGGCATGCAGACTGGAGCATTCGGCAAACTAACCAGCAACCTTCTGATTAGTAGGTGACCTGCTGTAGCACCTGAGTTATAGCTACCACAGGTTAAGTATACGCTAAATGACAGGGGAACATGATGAAAACAGCCCCACCAAGGCTGGAGATGGAACAACACTGGAAGATCACATGAAAGGAGGAAACAAGACGTAACAATGCTAAATGGCTAGTGGAGCTAATAGCAGACCACAGCAACCTCCCTGAACAGGATCCAGTAACCATCACAGTGGCAGACATCCAAAACAGAGTCTCAAGCATAAAGAGTTGGACAGCATCAGACCCTGACATGAATCAAGCCTACTGGCTAAAGAAGCTAACTGTACTCCATGAGTGCTTGGTAGCCCAAATGAACCAGTTGCTAACGAATGAGACACACCCAAAATGGCTAACTGAAGGCTGGACAGTCCTGCTGGATCCCCAAAAAGGGACCACTCCCAGCGAACTTCCAGCCAATAACCTGCCTCAGTACAATTCATTATAGCTGCTGTCAGGCATCATAGCGGCTAAGATGAACAGGCACATGACATACCCAGACACAGAAAGGGACTGGCAAAAACACCGGAGGACAAGCACCTGCTACTGGTAGATAGAGCAGTTGTACGAGATTGTAAGATCAGACTGACCAACCTGTGCACTACCTGGATTGACTACAAGAAAGTCTGGTCATGGGATGCCTCACACATGGATCCTTGAATTTGTAGAACTATACAAGATCAACCAAGAGCCTTCATCAGGAATTCAATGGGGATGTGGCGAACAACACTTCAAGCCAACTGATACAGTCATACAAACTGGCGATGGCTAACCAACCAAATATAGTAGTGGTGGAGAAGCAGAATAAGACAACCATGGTCCCTGTGGTCATCGGAGAACTCGGGGCAGTGGCCCCCTAAGCTAGGCGAATGGCTCCAGCAGATTCCAGGAATGACATCCGAGATCTCTGTCCAGAAGAGCTAAGTCTTAGGAACAGCTAAGATACTGCACAGGACCCTCAAGCTCCCAGACCTCTGGCAGAGGACCCGAACTTGAAGGATAAAAGAGGAGCGAGCGGTGTGAAATTAGTGAAAATGTGAAAATAGATCCCTTTGAGTTCTGTAGAATGAAAAAGCTAAATAAAAATATCCGAAACCAGCACTGGGCAAAATACATTTAGCACTGTGAAAGTAACATGACAGGAGTGTTTAAAATTCTTCTCAAAGAAAGGTCTGGAATAATCAGGCCTCGTCTTATCATAAAGACCTCAATAGAGCACTTCACTCTCAAACTGCTGGAGCCTTCATCTTTCAGTCCCGATCTGATCTAAACCACAAAACAACACTGCACTTTGCTACTGCATAAAAGGTAAGTGAATGTCATATTCCAGTCATACTGCGATTCTACATGCACATACTGTTCTGTGCCAATAGAAAGGTAGATCTGGCTGATTGCTTCCAGTGCTTCTCCCTCCTGTTCTCTGTATCCGGTGCGTCTCAGCAGCTGGACTTGGTGCTGACTGTAGATGATCCACTGAACCTGGTTTGGAACCTTACACTCATACAGACGACACAGACATCGTGTTACACTGAGCTCATCTGGCGAAGTGACAGAGAGAAAAAAGGACAGTTTTAACTCAGAATATAAGATACTGCTATGGTTATGTGACATTCATACTTACACTCTAACAAGTTAGCATTGATTGCCAGAAGCAGAGCCCACTCATAGCATCCTTTCCCATAGTCCAGCTGCTGTTGCTTCACATAATACTTTCCCAGCTCCATCAATACGGGGATAAAGTTTTCCACATTGCTTTCTTCACTGAGCTCAGAGAAAAGCTGAACTGCCTCAGACAGATGCCTCTCTGCTAGTGTTTT